ATGACACTGTTTTAGATAGTTATGTGTGGAGGTCCTAATCATATCATCTTTATAAATTTGATTTTAAATTTAGTAAACTGATTCAAGAATTACATTTTAGAGTTTCTTTAACTCAATGATCTGATGCTAAATTTGTCCCTAAAGCCTAAATACAGTCACCTTACATTCAGTTTAAGGATTAAGAATCAAGAATTTATAAAAAGCTAAGCCGAAATATACATTCCAACAAAGTCTTGTGTATGTTATAGAACTGATAAGAAAAAAAACATTGTTTACCTTCTGCATATGCGCTGGTAAACAGCAGCACAGCAGCCAGGGTTAATTTCCACCAGCCTTTGTCCATCTTGAGCTGGAAACACTTTCAGGTCCAGGCTTCAAATGTGCACACTATTATTGTTTCCCTCTTATTTATAGACATTCACAATCAAAGTATGGGGGTGGTTATGTAAAACTACACAAATACTCCAGATGGATTATTTCTGTTTTAATCGGTATGGGAATCGGGCACCTGTGAAATGATTTGTGTGTTTTCCTAAATTGAGCATCGAGGAACTCACACAGCTGTGGCTTTCTGTGCAACGGGTAATTTGGAGAAATTTTCCTTTGATTTGACAAATCTTTATCATCTTATTTGAGACATTAACATAGCAGCTTTATGTAAAGTAACATGGCCAGACCATTGTACAAATAAGTGCCTCTCCTCTCTGAAGCAACTGTTACTGTTAATATTCAGAAAAAAAATGCAAAACTTGGCTGCAAAACAGAGGAAGTTCTAAAATTGTGCGTCACATGTTTTGCAAGCAGAGACAGAAATTGATGTTCTGGCAAAGATGATCCATGCTTTACCGAAAAAGAAATTTTATCATTTTCCATGAAGTGTATGTATTTGCACATAATATTCTGATGTTTTTGCATTGATGCATTGACTTGAATGGAAGAATGTGGAAGTGGATGCTGTCTTTGAGATATGTAAAGTCCGTTCCAGAAGGACAGGGCTTCCCATAATAAAGACAGATATGTGTTTATCATAAGACCAAAAATACATAATTTGATTTACATTAGAATAACTCAAAAACTTAAACTTGTGTGGCATTTTATGGGTGTTGGTAGCAAAGATTTAAACAAATAAAATGTACAATGTGGCTTTTTAATTGTCATTACACTGTCACAAGTACAGAGCAACAAAAGGAACTCTCTGCATTTAACCCATCCCTGGGGGAGCAGTAAGCTGCCATTATGCGGCGCCCGGGGAGCACTGTGGGGTTAAGGGTCTTGCTCAGAGACCAAGATTGGCAGTCTGTGGGAATTGGGCTCAAACTCAGAACCTCAGGATTCCAAGCTCTATGCCCTAACCACTAGGTGGTGTATGTATTTTAGACACACTCATGAAGTTTCTTACAATACTACTTTCACCACTTGAATTTTCTCTCCATTTTCAGTTATCTTTTTACATTTAATAAAACTGTGTGTCATGCGCAAAGTTATGTTAATTTATCTTATTGTTTCTTATAATCTAAGCTAGTAAGAGCATGCAGAAATTAAAAAGGAATAATTAATTAAACATTAATAGGAGGACCTGGGATGTGATTCTAATCAGCTGTGATGAAATGTTACCTGTTGATGTTACAAAGAAGTGTCATGATGGGTCTAATGTGTTTGAACCACATGCAGAAGCACTCACAGAGACTGGAAAAGGTTAAACAGTTTATTGAAGGGATTACTGTACAGAGACTAGGAAAAAACAGTTCTTCAGCTTGGGGAGGTTCCAGCGGTCAGGTGAACCGGAAGCAGAAGCTCTAGGAGGAGATCAGAGTGGTGAGTTCAAGGACTGTGGGAATACTGGCCGATTGTCTAAATAAAAGGTTTGACTTAGACTCACTGTGGTTGTTTGGGAGGGTTCCAGAGTTCCCATTTGTGGAGGCTTGATCTGTAGAAGGTGTAGTTCATTGGAGGGCGGACAGGCAGATTATGGTGGTCCTGAGGAGCAGCAGAGCAGACTGACACAAAGTTCCTGAAGTGAACGGCGTTCAAATGAGGAGATCTGTCTCCTACTCTCAGTGTGACGAGAGTCCCTTTAAAGACTTGAAGGGCCTGGCTTATCCAGTGGATCAGTGATGTCCTGCAGGAGAATCGAAAGACAAAACTTGGTTACCGTTGAGAGCTCAGAAGAAACAGGGAGTCAAAGTTAAACTGTGCAAAACTCTGAGGGGCTAGAGTACCCATTACTGGCAAACACTGGCGAGGAAGTGAAGACAGTCTGTTGCTTAAATACTCCTCAGGAAGTGATGACCCAATAGGCTGCAGGTGTGAGGTGAGAGGAACAGGAAGCCCTCCAGACCAGCAGAGAACAATGGCACAATCTGGTGGGTGCACGGTGGAACTGCAAGAGAACAAAAACAAAAAACCCCACAAACATGAAACCCTAACAAGAAGTGACATTCCTTCAAGTCAAACTCAAACCGGTCAAGTACCTCAAGTGACTTCAGTATAATGCCACAGTCAGCAGTTGAACTGAGGTCTAATTAAACCAGCACTGTTGTTCTTCCACTGTCTACTTTTATGCAGATGATATCAAATACTTTTTGAAGGGCAGTCTCAGTACTGCCATGAGGACATGAACCAACTGGAAGACATCAAACAGATACTTTTAATGACATTACTAATGAAGGGAAGATTAAAATAACAGGTAGAAAACATGGTTTGTTTTTTTCTTTACTTGGTGCTTTTTTAGTCCCAGTTTTAGTCCATGTTGTTGGGATCTGGAGGTCTGTCCACTTTCTCCCCCAGAGGGCGTACGAGATCTCCTGGAGCCGGAGCTGATTGCACCACCTGTCGCTCGTCTGCTCATCAGGAGATCAGTATTTAAGGAGGCAGAGGACTTCTCTCCAGTGCCAGAGTGTTTGCCAATTACGGTTAGCAAGCCTGAGCCAACCTGCCTGTCTGAATCTCTGACTCCCTGAAAACCTGAACCTGATCTGTTTTCTCCTTTCTGCTTCCCAGATTTAAACTGCCTGAAACCAGAAACCCTGAAGAGTTTGTCTGTTGGAAATCTGCCAGTCTGATCCCTGAAGAACCCTGGAGAATTATTCCTGTCAAAGACCTGCCTGCCCGCTCTCTGAAGAATCTGGAAGGGAAACTCAAATCTGTGATCTGCAAACACTCAAACCAAGCTCTGCCTCCGCCAAGCCCTCAGCCTGCCGACAGGATCTGATTAACCCCTGGATCTGTTTATTCCTTGTACAGAATTATTTCAATAAACCTTTGAACTTTTCTCCAGCCTCAGTGTGTTCTGCATGTGGTTTAGGAACCTTAAACCAAACATGACACATGTTTTGCTCAGTCTAGTTGAATATTCTCTCATTTGCATTTAGGAGTAATTAAATCAACACATATATTTTAATTCCTAAAGCTTACAGGTTTGCCTCTCAAACACATAGGAGGTCCACAAAAAGAAAAAGAATCATTGCATTTTCTTTTTCAACAGTTCAGCCACCCAAGAAAAGACCAACGACATTGAGGATGTGCAGAACAACTCCACAGGGATGTTCTTCTTTTATTATTACTTATCTTATTCTTTTATCTTTATGTTGGTCCATTGAATATGTTTAAAAACTTAATTTCCATCACACCTTCCAAATGAAACATCCAGAGAGTTTTGTCAATTGTAAGAAAAACTAATAACATAATGAATGAAGCTTTTTAATCCTTAGCCTATTACCAAATATTCATACAGTGTAGTTTGCATGGGTTACGATTGCACTGGTTCCTGTATCAGTGCCAGTAATCCAGTAATAGCTTATTAGTTCCCCCTTATTTAATATACTTGAACTGTCGAGAATAATTAATTTTAAAAATGTTGAAATTCTTAGTTTAAAGTATATTTAAGATGCAAGTATTTTAGTAGGGCCCATTCTGCTTTACTTTAATTCTCTAAAAATCACCAAAATGTAGAAAATAATGTATATTGTAAGAAACATGTTCCACATAACTACAGATCACTAATTGTTATTCAGTATAGTTTACTCTGCAATTAAAAAAATCCACATTTTGTTTCCGTTAAATCCTCTGAAAACCTCCAACCTATAGCTGCACCTATCCTCATCTAACCCAGACAGGGTTTCCTAACCAAATCACTTCAAAATCTCACCCCAAGGTTTGGTGAAAAGTTGGCCGCCCTGATTTTATCTCTTACAAATTCCCTTTTGTTATTATGCCTTCTGATAAAACCCAGTGCAAGATGTGAGACAGAGAAGAGAAATTACATCCAATCATTGATCCAGATGTTCTGTTAAGGCTTTAGTTTGTTAGTGAACATCAGAGAACCGAAGACCACAACAGAGAGGGCAACGAGAAGGATGTAGTGATAAATAAAACAAGACATGTCTAATCCTTTTCTAGAGGACTTTAAAACTGTGAAGACTATGGCTAAACGGGAAACCTACCAACGCATGGCCGACCATGAAAAGTATTATTTAGAAAAATAGTATAAAGGGACATGGTAACACCTGAGAGGCTGCAGACGAGGTGCTATGATCTACTGAAACCTCAGCTGGCTTGCATGTAAAAAAAATAATAACAATACAGCAAGAAATACAATTGAAAGGTGGAGATACATACATACTGAGGTGTTTAAAGGGTCCTGTCAAAGTCAGAGCCTAAATCTAATTTAGAATATGTTAGTAGAAAAATACCCTAAGACGAACACAAATGGAATTGCAGTGAAGAAAGTTGTACAAATTATCAAAGAAAATCGAGTTAAATAGAAGTAAATGCAGCCACTTTAGGAGTACTTACTTCTTCTTAGGTAACAAATGCGTGTAACTTGTTATAAACCTTTCATTTCGATTTTTTTTCTTTAATCAACAGAAAGTTTAAAATTTAAATTGGAAACTACTTAAAGGCAAATACATTTTTTATAGATATATGAAAGCACATTCAGGAGTTGAGGGGTTAAATGATCAGTAGTTATTTGGCTCCAGTACGCTAGGTGGCGCAGTCCAATTTCCCCTTAATGTGTCAAAACAACAGAAAGAAAAAGGAAACAGGAAGGATCGTTTCAACACAACTGTTTTACCTCCAGTAAGGTCTGTTTTTGTGACTTAAACTCTGTTACGTTAAACAGTTTATTTCAAATAATTGTTTACTACTCGTTTTGAGCAGAGTAATGTTTTATTATTCGGCTACTGGTATAATGAGGGGTGTTTCTGGCTAGCTAAGCTGCTAAGAACTAGCAGTTGGCAGCGGAAGGACTGGGTTTTAAGCATAGATTTATGATTTGACATGTTTAACATTTAGGGAATTTAGTATAATTTGTGTCTGACTAACAGCTAAAGGCTTAAACGTGACGATATTCGTGATTTATCGCTTTCTAGCTGCGATAATACTGTTCGTTATTTCCGCAATTATGAATAAAAAAAAACAGAAACATTTTAACTAAAGGGGCTTGAAAAATCAGGAAAAGATAAATATATAAATATATGGTCTATTAGTTTTTCGGGGTATTTGAAAAAAATAAATAAAAATAAATAGATGGTATTTTCCTTTAAAACCAAGTCCAGAATGGGAAGGTCAGGTTTGCTGCTTTCAGCTGATTTAAAGGGAACAGCAGCACTTAGATGCTACTTGTACCTCCATAAAAGCAGCTGATTGTGGCTCTAAGTCTGTGTTTAACTAACTCTGTGATTATTTTGGAGAAGTAGTTGCTGTTATTCATCAGTTTGTTGGGGTTTATCTATAATTAATGTGGAATAATCCAGAGTGATAAACAAAGCTGTGTCCTCTGATCATCAGGCCAAAAATGAAATGGTAAAAATATTTATCTGAATATTGTCTCATACTTGAGCTGCTGATTTAATATTTTCAGTAATTGTTAATTTAATGGCTTTTTAAATAGCTGGAAATATGAGATCACAACCTATAATTTTATTAGACAATTTGCTTATTTTTGCATGGAATTGTTCAGCTTACTTTAAACTATGGTTGTTCTTTATGTTATCATTTGAAGAGAAAAAAATTATCCACCTAAATACTTTTAAAGTTTCATTTTTAAATATCTATTTGAATAAAAAAGTAATCATCCTTTTAATATTCTTTTTAATGTGTCCTTTAATTTGTAAAGAATTTTCAGTTATTTCCAATTCATTTTCTATTGTCCATAATTGTGATGATCTTGATTTATTATATAATCTGCCAATATTTGCCTGATTTCAACAAATTAGATATAATTATTTGTATCATTTAAAGAGCTCTGTTTGTTAAATAAAGATTTAGCACTTAAAGTAGTTTTAAAAAAGATAACAAAATGACACAGATAAAAATGCATTTTATATGACTTAAAAAAATATAATAAGCAGCAAAAAAAAAAAAAAAAAAGTTCCATTTAAAGTGCACTGGATTATATCTCAAATATCTGATCCAGCTAATTATTCATTATTTGAGCTGATATCCAGGTATCAAATCAGTGTATTTCAATCAGTCAGCATATAAAGTGTGCAGGGTTTCTGCGGGTCATTAAAAGTCATTAAATTATTATTGTTTAAGGCCTTAATTGGCATTAAAATTCACTAAATGTGTTTTGTGGCATTTAAAATGCTTTATTAAAAAAACATTTTTTATAAAAACAATTTCATCAGACATATTATATCACAATATATTTGCGTGGAACTGCTTCCGGTTGATCGCAAAGCTGTATGTTCAGAAAAGAAGCTTGAGTCAGAGAAAAAGCTGTAGAGAATTAGGTGGTTTTCCAACCACTTTTCAACAAAAAGTGGTTGGAAAACGAGGAATTCGGGACATGGCTGCAGCCTGTCGACGGGTACCTGTTGGTGGCACTAAAATTATTTTTAAGAGCATTAAAAAGCATTAAATTTGAGTTATTCATTCCTGTATAAACCCTGGTGTGGCTATAAGTGGATAAATCTGGTTCCATCCCAAACCCAAAACATCTGCAAAAAGAAATGCAAAGATCTCAACTTTAAAGTTGAAATTATCTGATTCCTCTGTTATACTTTCATAGATCGGACTACATACAGTTACCGAAGAAGTTTGGATCGTTTCTCTGACCATAACAAAGAGTTTTTGATTTGCAGTGACCCACAGTCAGTCTCTCCAACAGAAAACGATGGACTCGCGCTTCACTCGAGGAAAGTCCACCATTCTGGAGCGACCTCTGAGCCGACCCAAAACCGAAGTGAGCCTGAGCACCTTCGCCTTGCTGTTCTCGGAGATGGTCCAGTACTGCCAGAGCCGGGTGTACTCGGTGAGCGAGCTGCAGACCCGGCTGGCGGAGATGGGTCAGCGTGTGGGAGCCAGCATGCTGGACGTTCTGGTGCTGAGAGAGAAGAACGGGAAGAGGGAGACCAAAGTGCTGAACATGCTGCTCTTCATCAAGGTGAGCTGCTCTCTAAGATCAGTCAGGGGCTGAGATGCTTTGTCTTAAAAGCTAAAACGTATTTATTTGTTCTTTTTCCTGCAGGTCAATGTGTGGAAGTCTTTATTTGGTAAAGAGGCTGACAAGCTGGAGCAAGCCAATGACGACGACAAGACTTATTACATCATCGAGAAAGATCCTCTCATCAACGCCTACATCTCCGTTCCCAAAGAGAACAGCAGCTTGAACTGTGCGGCCTTCACTGCAGGCGTGGTGGAGGCCATCCTCACTCACAGCGGCTTCCCCGCCAAGGTCACCGCCCACTGGCACAAAGGCACCACCCTGATGATCAAGTTCAACGAGTCGGTTATAGCCAGAGACAAGGCTCTGGATGGCAGGTAGAGACTGCAGCCCGGCGGGGTGAAGAGGTTCTGACCCAGACGTACAGAGGTCTAGTGATGACAGATGAGTTTGTGGATCATTTAATGTGTTGTTCTTATAGGATGTGTTGTTTGCTTTTGTTTCGAATCTTTAATTAAATATAAATAAAACTTTGGCTGATGAATAAATTGCTCCTTAATTCATGATCAATAATGTGCTGTAAATATCTTTTTTTTTTTAAGGCTCACCACTTCCCCTACTGCAGATATCTTTTTAATTAACCCATTAAATGAAGTCAGGGATTGGAACCAGTCAGTCATTAGATTTTTTTTTTTATGAAATCAGACTTCTTTCTCTGTACGCTCATTCAGACTTATATTTCATACAGTCACCATCAGACTCCAGGCTGAGCGTTTGCCTCGGTGTGACTCCAATGTGCAGAAGGAAGGTATAGACTAGGGCTGAAGTCCTGAATTGATTCGATTTTGATTCATACCTTTCTAAATCAATTAATTTCGATTCGATCTGTTTTTACAATAATGAAAGTGCTTCAACTGTGTTTCAAAACACTTATTTTATTTTTTTCCTGTCACATTAAACACAAAGTGCAAACTTGTATCGGACAGTTTAAACTTGAGATGTGAACAAAACTGTCTCAAAAGTGCAAACTTGTTTGTGAAAAGTGAAAAAGCCTCACATGAGCAAGCAGATATGACACAGCAGACATGCATGAGCTGCATTATCTTCACTGCAAAAACCATATTTGCAGCGTTGTCTGTAACAAATACAGGGTGTTTTCTGGTCAGCCTCCATTTGTTAATGTCTTCAATCAACATATGAGCTATATTTGCAGCTATCTAGCTTGAAGTATGAATGCATCTTTCCTGCTCATTTGAATGTGAACATCACACACGTCACTATAAAACTCGATCGATCTTATTCCCTAGACATTGATTTTGCAAAAATGTAAAGGAATCTATTCAAAATCGCTTAAATTGATTTTTTTACCCAGCCCTAGTGTAGATGTCTCACAGTAGGGAGACATCTACACTGTGCAGAATATAAGTTGTTTATGATCACATAAGGGCTGCAGCTAAGCACTATTTTGCTAATTGATTAATCCGTCGACTCTTTTTGGATTAATAATGAGATAAAAAAAGGTTTCCTAAAGAAGATTTTACACAGAATTAAAACAAAGTGAAGTGAAATCTACGCTCTTTGAGGACTTCAGGATTGATTATTTAAATAGACCAAAAGGGTTTTTACCTTTAAAAGCAAAACATTTGGATTTTTTTAAAACCGTTTTTCTCTAATAACTGCTTTGAGTTGGTTTCTCTGTGAGCTAAAGACATCTTTTACTCTATACTCAACAATTAATCCATTAAACTCTATTAGTTGACATTTGTTTCAGCCCAGATCTTAGGCTAGGATGAAGGAAGGTAAAAAAAGAACATAATTATTCCAAGTGTGTTTTCTGGAGGTGTGACTGGATTAGGGCTGGAATAATAATCAGATTCATGTTGATTAATCGATTATTGAAATAATCGTCAACTAATTTAGTAATTGATTTGATTAACTGGCCCCTTTACTTAAGAAATAATACTAAATATGTTTTCAGAAACAGAAACCACTGAAAGTTCCCTTAGATCTATTTATATTTTTACCTTCACACTTAATTCAACAGCGATTTCAAAATAAAGGTGTTTCACTTTTAGCTCCAGTGGTATTGAGACGGGATCATCGTTTTAGGGAGGAACTGATTGCAGATCCCTATGAAGCCTGAAATGTCCATTCCAATTTTGACTGAGATTTTCTTTACAAAGGTTGTTAAAGGATCTCAATATGCCTTCAATGTTTGGGTCTTATGTTGATGAAAATTAACTGAAAAAAAAATAAAAACTTGTTTGAACTGCATAAACTAACAGTCTTTATTATAAATGAAATGTTTAGATCATTGATAGTGGTTGAGTGATCTCTGCAGGGATAAATAAGGTTGGTGTTTAAGATTGTGCGGATCCCAGTTAAAGAATTTTGCTCCTCCACATTTTAATCTGCTATATCTGGAGTCACATTCGTCTCTTTGGTTCCACACCTTTATTAGTAAATCAGCTATTGACCTGTTTGTTGTTTTGTTCTGGTCTACAGCCACCACTGCCACAGACATTCTGAAAACTACTGCTTATGCAGCTGATTTCGCACCACATTACGAGGTGGTATAATTCTGGAGGGTTTTCAGGTGAAAAGATCACAAGTGGGCCGTTCTGTCTGCCTGAAAAAGTCAGATATGAGTGAATTTGGACATAAAAATCAGATTTAGGTCACTTTTATCTACAGTTTGAGCCTAGAATAAGTTATTGCAAGTCAAAATCATAACCTTTTTTTGTATGTGTGTCCTGTTTTGCCAATATAGCTCTGGGAATAGATATCCCTGAGCTTGATAGCCTGACAGCTTTGCCTCATGAGTAGACCATTATGACTGCTGCCATAATGTTCTGCTTTATACTTGTATATTAAACATTATTGGAAAATATTTGGGGAGTAAAATTGTGTACAATGGACATGGACATGGAAAGGAAGGTTGGAAAGAGGGGATAAGAAGTAAGGGGAGAGAGAAAGAAATGGAGACAGGAATGAGTGCATGAAATGAGAGAAAACAAAAAAGCAAAAATAATTATATTTATTTATATAGCGCCAATTCACAACACGTCATCTCAAGGCACTTTACAGTTCACCAGATCATACAGTCAAATTGATCCAAAGGAAAACCAGCTGATTGCATCAACTCATTGACTTGAAGATAAACCCTCACACTAAACATACTTGTAGCGACAGTGGAGAGGAAAGTCTCCCATTTAACAAGTAGAAACCTCCAGCAGAACCAGGCTCAGTGTGAGCGGCCATCTGCCGAGGCCGACTGGGGTTCAAGGAGACAGACGCAGAGATACAAAAAGCAGCTGTAAAAGGCGGCCCCGTCCAGGAAACACACAGCCAGGCAGACGAGCTCCGAGCCAGCTCCCATGTCAGAGGATGAAGAGAGACAATAGAAAACACAGAAGATGTACAATAAATCCTAGAAGTCGGCTTCAACGCCTGTAGGAGATTAGAGGAACACAAACAGAGTGCATAACAGCACTAACAGAGCACTTTGCTCTCAATCTGCAGTCTGTTATCAGGCTCCTCTCCTGTGGAAAGCTATTTTCCCACGATATGTGATGGCTGATCTAAGTTCCCAGGATGAGCATATCAGCCTCAGCATCTCTATAAAAGAGGATGGTAAGAGAAATGATTTGGTCTACATAGATTTGATCCTAAATGAAGTTAAAACTGAGGTGGAAACTGAAGCCTGCATAGCTGAAACACCAGATGTCACATTACAGAGCATTCTCCAAGAAAGTTAATGACCCAGTATCCTGATGGGGTTCCTGATAATTTCTTTGACACTCCATTATTTAACAGCCTTCTCCGCACATCTATCCACCATCCAGGGACATATTTCCCCCCGGAAAGAGTTTCCCAAGTTCCCATAGAAATTTCTGAAAAGCTAATTTCTAAAGATTTCTGCATAACATTGTTCTTTAAGGTCTAATTTGGACAGGTTAAATGATCCATGTGGTATTGACTCTATGCTGGGTGCACACAACTGAAGGACGTCAGAGGGATTCATTTTCATCCCAGAATTGAGCTTCCATCTTCCCCCTACTAAGTGCAGGGAAAACGACAGCATCGTTTCTCTTTTTAACCCTTGGATTGATGAGTGTCCCCTAAAGTGCTGGAATATTTGCCACTCCACCTTAAAAAGAAAACAGTGCCTTTATGACACTGATGTGATACTTTTTATCTGGAACGGTCAATCGGAGAGACGCATTTAACACATCATGTAATTCCTAGTCCAACCATTGACATTCCTTTAGAAAATGGATCCCAGTTGTAGCTACCATCTGTCCTCTGGCGTTTGCAGCAAATTCCTAAGTTCCCAGACTTTTACAAGATGCATAGACAGTTGGTATTTAGGGCTGAAGATGAAAGTATAACTGTAAGCAGAGACTTTACAGCAGATATTTGCATCAGTGGGTTTATCTGTATCAATGAGAAATGCACAGAAGAGGAGGATGGGTTTATTGTTGGGGTCAAAGCTATGTTTGAACTAGAAAGGTCTGAGGAAAATCTTTAACCCATCCAGTCCCTCAAGTAGATCAGGAAAGCAGTACAACAAATAATTTGGTGTATCCAGATTTTGCCCTAAATGAAGCTCAGACTGAGGAGGAAACTGAACATCAGGGAAACAATGAAGATCCTTGTGTCAAAATGACAAAGGAAGAAATCAATGCCTGTTTAGATAATATGCTGATGTTGTATATGTGAGTCTGTTATATTACCTGACTGTTGCTGTCAAAGCAAATGTTTTTCCATCTAATTGGGACAGTTCCTAGGTCAGGATATAGTTATCATGTTTATGGTGTGCATAGCAGAGATTTGGAAATAAAATAGGGGCACAGAGTAGATATTTCTTTTTTTTAATTTTCTTTAGAAAACTACATTTTGAGGTTTTCAGTTTAGGAAGAACAATACAGATCAAAGGTGCCGAAGAAAGCATCTGCTGCCCTGGTTTTGCTCTTTGAGCTTCTAGTTCTAGTTCGTGGTTGATGAGTGATGCTGGCACAACTTGCTGCCGACGCTCGCTGGTATTTTTGTATTTAAATCACCTTCCAGCCTCGTCAGAAATACATCCACTGAGGGTCCCACCGGATTGACCACCTAAACGATCCAAAGGCAATAAAATCCATCTGGTCCAGCTCCAGACGGTGGATTCGTCTCCCTCCGAGTTCAACCTGCCGGGCTGTTAACCACAGCGTGTTAGCCGGCCTAGCTCCATCGGCTAGCACCACCACCTGCTGCAACAACACCGCACACAACTTTGCTCTGCTTAACATCCACTCACTGACAAGCAAGGAACGTCTCATTCAGGACTTCATCACCGACTGCAAGCTGGACTTTCTCTGCTTAACTGAGACCTGGCAACAGCCCCAAGACTTCTCTGAGCTCAACGAATCCACTCCCTAAAAAACAGATTGGTTTCTCCACCCCCTGGTTCACCCCCGATCTCCGACGCATGAAAGCCAAAGGGCAGCAGCTTGAAAGACTTTACAGAAAAACTGGTCTCACCATACACAAAGAAATATATAATAATTGTAGTGGCGATTGTTTGCTAAGCATCCAAAGAATAAAGGTTCCATTAAGCCACTACTAAGGCACTGGGGTCAAGTTTCTGTACGCAGGCAAAAGAAGGTTAGGATGATTAATTTTCCTTTTCAGCCAACAATTACAGAGTTCAAACTTTCCTTTGTTCTTTCTGCTACCTCTCTTGCTCTGGTAAAATCCATAGGCCCCAAACCCACAATGCCTGCTGGTCCCTTCCCAGGCCCCTACACTTATAGAACGTGGACTGACCCACATTACTTCCTGTCTTACCTAAGAGAAAAAAATAAATAAATAAATAAATAAATAAATAAGAAAAACAATAAAACAACGATGTTTATAGATATTTATAGATAGTTAGACAGTTGCCCTTTAGTGCATTACATTATAGGGCACAAAAACATTAATGTATGAAAAATAACGAATAACAGCCGATTTCAATGCCAAAAATGATGCATCCCTAGAAGTACAATTTCAGTTCCATCCATACAGAAAAATATGGATATGCTGCATTTTAATTATCCATCCATCCATTTTCTGACACAC